GAGTGCTTGGTGTTGGTTGGTCCTCTGCGGCCGCGCCGACCCAAACACTTTCGCGCAGCTGCCAACTAGCTTGGCGCGAACGACGCGGCCGCGGTGGCGCTGACCGCTGGGCACATCCCAGCGGGCACTTCAGCGCGAGTCGGCGACTTGGGCGGGCGTAGTGTCATGGCGATGTCATGGCGGTGCTGGTGACGATGTTGACAATGACGACGGCGCGGCCAGTGCAAGCGCCGATGCTGATCACGCCAGTGACGATGACGGCGTCCTCGCGTCGGTGATGAAGGTTTTGGACAAGGTTCGACATGCGCGCGCGGCCGACGCGCGAGAGTGGCCCGCGATGTATTCTTTGACACGGATCGTGCCCCCCCCATCGCGCGCGCAAAGGCGTGCGAATGTCGGCATGCGGCGCCGCAGGCCCGTTTGGCAGAATTCCATGCGTGCTGTTTTGAAAACTGATGTTGCGAAACCATTTGTTTTTGTTGCATGTGTTTTGGGCACTCGGTTCTGACACTGCTACGAGACCGAAGTTGTTTGACGGGTGTCGGCGCGCGCAACGACGCGCGCGGGTGCAGTTCGTCATATTTTTTGCAAAGGATTCTCGCGACGGCACGCGCGCAATGGCGTTCGAACAATTTCGACATGCGCGCGCGAAGCCCGTCTGGTAACATGTTATGAACATGTTGGAGCACCGGTGGGTTGATTCAGAATTCGCAAGATCGCGTGCTAGTTTTTGTTTTCGTACAATGACGACGCGCGCGTGTGCACTTCGTTCCGTTTGTTGCAAGGGGTTCTTGACAACGTCTGTTTTTTTATGAACGAGTGCACGCGCATCGCATTTTTTCCAAAGAATGACGGGGGGTCGATACCGGTTGGGCTGGGATGGGGCAGAATCACATGTCAATCGCATTACGAAAAAGGGTACCGACAATCCCGGGGGGAGTGGGGGAGTGGGGCGGGGGGTAGAGTCTATTACCTTTGTACGAGAGGAGAATCTATGAGGTGCAAGCTACGTTGTGCAGCCTGAGCGGCGCAGTCTAAGTGGTGCAACCTAACTGGTGCAACATATGTGGTGCACTTTACGTGATGCAATCAAAGAAATGAAGAAGAAGTGCCAAACAATGCAAAGCCATGCAGAGCAATGCCACGCACGGCATAACAGTGCACATCAACACAATGCGATTGCAAAAGCAGCGCGGTTGCAGTGTTGTGTGATTGGAATGCAGTGCCCAGGCGACAGGCGGCGACGGGCGGCGACGAGGCGGCGACGAGGCGGCGACGAGGCGGCGACGGCGGCCAGGTGGCGGCCAAAGTGGCCCGCAGGTCCAGGTGACGGGCGGCGACGGGCGGCGACGGTGGCCACATGACGGTCAGAGCGGCCCGCAGGCCCAGGCAACGGGCGGCGATGGGCGGCGACGAGGCGGCGCTGGTGGCCACATGGCAGCCAGAGCGGCCCGCAGGCCCAGTTCCCCCCCCCCCCCCCCAGGACTCTCCCCTCGGAAACCTCCCCGGACCCCCCCGTGGACTGCTCCAGGCAACCCCCCAGAGGGCACGTCGGCTCCAAAAAGTGTCCCTGACGACTCCAAGATCCCTCCCTCCCCAAACAGCGTCCCCGACGACTCCAAGATCACCGAATCCGGAGCCCCCCGGATCGGCGGCACTGGCCGGAGGCCATTACAATCAATGTAAACGAATGAAGAGGAATGTGACGCGGCGGCGATGGCAACCACAAGGCGGCGGACACGACGCGCAGGACCAGACGACGGACGGCGACGAGGCGGCGACGGGACGGTGACGGCGACCACGGAGTCGCCAGACCGACGCGCAGGCCCAGACGACGGGCGGCAAAGAGGTGGCGACGGGGCGGCGACAGGGCGGCGACGGAGCGGCGACGGTGACCACGAAGCCGCCAGACCGACGCGCAGGCGCGCAGCTCCTTACAACAGAAGCAAGAACCCCGAAGTGCAACCACTGTTTGGAGAACAGTGAGAAACAGAAGCCCAGCACACGCGGAACTGATTGGGGCCACCTGGGTCTCGTCGAAGAACACGTACTCGCGGTAGGTGTTAACCACCGTCTCGCGGTCGCCAAGGACACAATCATTTCCAGCGGCCTTCGCTTCACTGATGTAGTCCCCTGCCTTGTGCACGACGTACGGGTTCCCAATCAAGCACCTGGATGCCACGGAGACGGAGGGAGAGGGAGAGGCTCCCCGGTGCCATCCTGCTCGCCCACGGCAAAAAAAGACGGCACAAGGAGGAACCCACTGCCCCTCAAGAGGGCGATCCCGAACGCACACACCACTGACACGTACTTCAAAGAGACAGTTCACCAGGCTAGAGCACACTGGACGGGAGACACGTGCAAGGCGTGCCAGCATTCTCCCAGGATGGGAACGTCGCGGTGGCAAACTAAACGGTCGCAGCCCGAGGGGGCTGGCCAGTGGCTGGCCAGTGCCAGGGATACAGCGGGGTCGTGCGCACAAGGACACATCACAATAAAC